AAGGTGGCCACCCCCCCACCAGGCGCTCACCCGGCGGTGTCTCGGCAGCGGCGCCTACTCGCTGACGCTGCGGGACCTGGCGGTGCGGGCGCTGGGGCTGCGTGCCCTGCAGGAGATCAGCAGCGGGATGGTGCTCGTCCACCACAACCCCCAGCTCTGCTTCCTCCAGAAGGTGCCCTGGGACAGCATCTTCCGCAACCCCCGCCAGCGCCTCTTCCAGACCCACAACAAGCCCCCCGAGCAGTGCGGTAAAGAGGGGGACGGGGCTGGGGGGGGAGCTGGGGGACTGTTGTGTCCCCCCCTTACCCTGTTACTCACTGTGTTCCCCCCCAACAGAGAGCGAGGGGCTGGTCTGCTTCCACCTCTGTGCCCACGGGCACTGCTGGGGTCCTGGCCCGACCCAGTGCGTTGCCTGCGAGCGGTTCCTGCGTGGCCAGGAGTGCGTCGCCTCCTGCAACCTCCTGGATGGGTGAGCAATGAGCCCTGGGGGCAATGGGCAGAGCCACCCCCCCACAACCACAGGAGGGGGTCTGAGACCCCCATCCCTTCACCCATCCCATCCCTGTGCCCACCCCATGCTCCCTTCCACCCCGCAGAGCCGTCCGGGAACACGCCAACGGGACGCGGTGCCTGCCCTGCCACCCCGAGTGCCAGCCCCAGAACGGCACAGAGACCTGCTTCGGATCGGTGAGGATGTGGGGGGGACATCTGGGGGTCAATGGGGGTGTCCCCTGGCCACCTGGGTTCCTCACCCCCCCCCTCCCTGGTCCCACAGGAGGCGGATCAGTGCGTGGCTTGTGCCCACTACAAGGACGCGCAGCAGTGCGTGCGGCGCTGCCCCAGCGGGGTGAAGGCAGACGCCTCCTTCGTGCCCGTCTGGAAGTACCCGGATGAAGATGGTGTCTGCCAGCTCTGCCCCACCAACTGCACCCACTCGTGAGTGTGGGGAGGGGGTCTGGGGGGGGCGGGCAGGAAGTCCTGGGGGGCTGCTGACCCGGGGGGTGCTGCACGTTGTGTCCCCAGGTGCACGATCCGGGATGAGGACGGTTGTCCTGTGGACCAGAAGCCAAGGTATGAGCGTGCCCGGTGCCACCCTGACCCCCCCACACACAACACACACCCTGGGTGCTGGGGGGAGGGTTCCTTCAGCCGGGACCCCCATCCTGTCACCATCTCCCCCATCCCAGTCACCTCCTGTCCCACAGCCAGGTGACATCCATCATTGCTGGCGTGGTGGGGGCTCTGCTGGTCGTCGTCCTCCTCCTCATCACCGTCGTCTGCGTCAAGCCACCCCGAGTGCCAGCCCCAGAACGGCACAGAGACCTGCTTCGGATCGGTGAGGATGTGGGGGGGACATCTGGGGGTCAATGGGGGTGTCCCCTGGCCACCTGGGTTCCTCACCCCCCCCCTCCCTGGTCCCACAGGAGGCGGATCAGTGCGTGGCTTGTGCCCACTACAAGGACGCGCAGCAGTGCGTGCGGCGCTGCCCCAGCGGGGTGAAGGCAGACGCCTCCTTCGTGCCCGTCTGGAAGTACCCGGATGAAGATGGTGTCTGCCAGCTCTGCCCCACCAACTGCACCCACTCGTGAGTGTGGGGAGGGGGTCTGGGGGGGGCGGGCAGGAAGTCCTGGGGGGCTGCTGACCCGGGGGGTGCTGCACGTTGTGTCCCCAGGTGCACGATCCGGGATGAGGACGGTTGTCCTGTGGACCAGAAGCCAAGGTATGAGCGTGCCCGGTGCCACCCTGACCCCCCCACACACAACACACACCCTGGGTGCTGGGGGGAGGGTTCCTTCAGCCGGGACCCCCATCCTGTCACCATCTCCCCCATCCTGTCACCATCTCCCCCATCCCAGTCACCTCCTGTCCCACAGCCAGGTGACATCCATCATCGCTGGCGTGGTGGGGGCTCTGCTGGTCGTCGTCCTCCTCCTCATCACCGTCGTCTGCGTCAAGCGCCGGCGGCAGCAGGAGAGGAAACACACCATGAGGCGCCTGCTGCAGGAGACCGAGGTGGGGACGCTGCGACACGCGGCTCTTCTGGGGATGGGACGTGGACCCCCGGTGCCAGGGGGGGTGCCAGGAGTCCACCCCCTCTTCACCCATCTGTGCCCACAGCTGGTGGAGCCGCTGACGCCCAGCGGAGCCCTCCCCAACCAGGCCCAGATGAGGATCCTCAAGGAGACCGAGCTCAAGAAAGTGAAGGTCTTGGGTTCTGGTGCTTTTGGCACCGTCTATAAGGTGAGGGGTTGAGGAGGTGGACACTGCTGGGGGGGGCTGGGACCCTCCTCACTCCGCACCCCCTCACCCGTGTTCCCCCCTCCCAGGGCATCTGGATCCCTGATGGGGAGAGCGTGAAGATCCCGGTGGCCATCAAGGTCTTGCGGGAGAACACATCGCCCAAGGCCAACAAGGAGATCCTGGACGTGAGTGTGCCAGCGGTGCTGGTGGGGGAGCGGTGCCAGTGGTGGCCCCCCACCCAGCCTGACACCCCTCCCCGTGCCCACAGGAGGCCTACGTGATGGCGGGGGTGGGCAGCCCCTACGTGTCCCGGCTGCTGGGCATCTGCCTGACCTCCACGGTGCAGCTGGTGACCCAGCTGATGCCCTACGGTTGCCTCCTGGACTACGTGCGGGAGAACAAGGACCGCATCTGCTCCCAGGACCTGCTCAACTGGTGTGTGCAGATCGCCAAGGTAGGACGGGGCGGGTGGTCTTTGGGGAGCTGGGGGGACACGGGGTGGCCCTGGCCAGCCTGACACACGCCAACCCCCAGGGGATGAGTTACCTGGAGGAGGTGAGGCTGGTGCACCGGGACCTGGCCGCTCGCAACGTCCTCGTCAAGAGCCCCAACCACGTCAAGATCACCGACTTCGGGCTGGCCCGGCTGCTCGACATCGATGAGACCGAGTACCACGCTGATGGTGGCAAGGTGGGGCTTGGGGACCATGGGGACAGGGTGGTGGGCACCATCATGCTTCCCCTGGGGGACAACCAGAGCCCCCCCAGGTCCTGCTCACCTCTCTGTCCTCCCCTGTCCCAGGTGCCCATCAAGTGGATGGCGCTGGAGTCCATCCTCCGCCGGCGCTTCACGCACCAGAGCGATGTCTGGAGCTACGGTACGTTGGGGTGACCCCATCCCAAGGAGGGGGAGTGCACAGGGGGGACCTGAGCCACCGCTCACCCCTGTCCTTGTCCCCTCAGGTGTCACCGTGTGGGAGCTGATGACCTTTGGGGCGAAGCCCTACGATGGGATCCCTGCGCGGGAGATCCCCGACCTGTTGGAGAAGGGGGAGAGGCTCCCGCAGCCCCCCATCTGCACCATCGACGTCTACATGATCATGGTGAAATGTACGTGTGGAGGAGATGGGGGGGGGACACAAGGACACGGTGTGGGGACAAAGCATCGTGGTGGCACCTTGTCCCAGCCCTGATGGCACCCATCTCTTCTCCAGGCTGGATGATTGACTCCGAGTGCCGGCCCAAGTTTCGGGAGCTGGTCACCGAGTTCTCCCGCATGGCCCGGGACCCCCAGCGCTTCGTGGTCATCCAGGTACGTGGGTCCTCAGGGTGGGGGGATGTCCTGTGTGTGTCCCCCCCCCTCCTGCCAGCACCCCCGTGCAGACACTGACCCTGCTGTCCTTGTCCCCAGAACGACATGGCCGGGCTGCCCGGCTCCATCGACAGCACCTTCTACCGGGCCCTGCTGGAGGAGGAGGACATGGACGACCTGGTGGACGCTGAGGAGTACCTGGTCCCTCACCAGGGCTTCTTCAGCGCCGAGACCTCCACCACCTACCGCAGCCGCATCTCCTCCACCCGGGTAGGTGGGCTGGGGAGGGGGAAACCAGGCAGGACCCCCCCTATTTTTCCTGGCAGAGGTGTGGGGTGACCCAGTGCCCAGCTGGGGCACATGGTGTCCATGCTGGGGGGGGATGTGGGGTGCAAACACCCACCCTGTGCTGCCCAGGGACCCTGTCCCACACCAGAGTCCTCGCTGTGGGCTGGAAGTGCCCAATTTAGATCCAATTTTACACGGAGGGTGGTGAGACCCTGGCCCAGGTTGCCCAGAGGTGGGAGGTGCCCCATCCCTGGAGACATCCCAGGGCAAGTTGGACGGGGCTTTGGGCAACCTGGTCTGGCTGGAGATGTCCCTTCTCCTGGCAGGATCCTGCTCACCTCTCTGTCCTCCCCTGTCCCAGGTCCCCATCAAGTGGATGGCGCTGGAGTCCATCCTCCGCCGGCGCTTCACGCACCAGAGCGATGTCTGGAGCTACGGTACGTTGGGGTGACCCCATCCCCGGGGTGGGGGGAGTGCACAGGGGGGACCTGAGCCACCGCTCACCCCTGTCCTTGTCCCCTCAGGTGTCACCGTGTGGGAGCTGATGACCTTTGGGGCGAAGCCCTACGATGGGATCCCTGCACGGGAGATCCCCGACCTGTTGGAGAAGGGGGAGAGGCTCCCGCAGCCCCCCATCTGCACCATCGACGTCTACATGATCATGGTGAAATGTACGTGTGGAGGAGACCAGGGAGGGGACACAAGGACAGGGTGTGGGGACAAGGCACCGTGGTGGCACCTTGTCCCAGCCCTGATGGCACCCATCTCTTCTCCAGGCTGGATGATCGACTCCGAGTGCCGGCCCAAGTTTCGGGAGCTGGTCACCGAGTTCTCCCGCATGGCCCGGGACCCCCAGCGCTTCGTGGTCATCCAGGTACGTGGGTCCTCAGGGTGGGGGGATGTCCTGTGTGTGTCCCCCCCCCTCCTGCCAGCACCCCCGTGCAGACACTGACCCTGCTGTCCTTGTCCCCAGAACGACATGGCCGGGCTGCCCGGCTCCATCGACAGCACCTTCTACCGGGCCCTGCTGGAGGAGGAGGACATGGACGACCTGGTGGACGCTGAGGAGTACCTGGTCCCTCACCAGGGCTTCTTCAGCGCCGAGACCTCCACCACCTACCGCAGCCGCATCTCCTCCACCCGGGTAGGTGGGCTGGGGAGGGGGAAACCAGGCAGGACCCCCCCTATTTTTCCTGGCAGAGGTGTGGGGTGACCCAGTGCCCAGCTGGGGCACATGGTGTCCATGCTGGGGGGGGATGTGGGGTGCAAACACCCACCCTGTGCTGCCCAGGGACCCTGTCCCACACCAGAGTCCTCGCTGTGGGCTGGAAGTGCCCAATTTAGATCCAATTTTACACGGAGGGTGGTGAGACCCTGGCCCAGGTTGCCCAGAGGTGGGAGGTGCCCCATCCCTGGAGACATCCCAGGGCAAGTTGGACGGGGCTTTGGGCAACCTGGTCTGGCTGGAGATGTCCCTTCTCCTGGCAGGAGGTGGGACTCGATGCCCTTTAAAGGTGCCCTCCCACCCAAAATATTCTCTTTCTGACTCCAGAGCACGGCGGAGACCCCGGTTGACGTGGAGGAGGGTGAAGGCTTGGCCTTCCCCTTCACCCCCCAGGGTTTGCCGGAGGGGCCGGAGGGTCCCGCGCCGGAGGTGCCGGAGGGGGATGGCGGTGCCAAGGTGACCCTGCAGAGCCCGTCGGGGCGGGAGCCGGGCACCCTGCCGCGGTACAGCGAGGATCCCACCCTGCTGGTGCCCGAGGACAGCGAGGGCATGGACCCCGAGGGCTTCACCGCCCCGGCCCCCCACCCCACCATGCCAGGTAAGGGAGGGGATGTGCAGCCAAGGGGGCATCCTCCCCCGGGGGGCTACCTGCCCACCCCGGTGGCACCTAACGCGTCCCTTGTCACCCACAGAGTACGTGAATCAGGCCGGGGAGCAGCGGGCACCCCCCCGGCACCCCCCTGCACCCCCATCCCCGCCGGACAAACCCAAGGGCCACCAGGGTAAGAACGGGCTCATCAAGGAAGCCAAGCACCCCTTCCCGGGGCCCTTCAGCCACGCCGTGGAGAACCCCGAGTACCTGGCACCCCTCACCCCCCCCCCCCCCCCCCCCCT